TTTGTTTTTTTATATATAGAAAGGAAGAGGGATAGAGAGTTAGAAACATCGATGAGAGGGAAACATCAATCAGCTGCCTCCTGCACACCCCCAACTGGGGATGTGCCCACAACCAAGGTACATGCCCTTGACCGGAATCGAACCTGGGACCCTTGAGTCCGCAGGCCGACACTCTATCCACTGAGCTAAACCAATTAGGGCCTGAATAACTCTTCTAAGATTTGTCATGTCCTTGCTCAGCTCCCATTCTGTGCCATGTATTATATTATCCCCATTTTGCCCCCTAACAATCCTGTAAGGTAGAGATTATTATTCTTGTTTCATATATGAGCAAAGAGTCAGAGAGAAGGGACTTGCCTAATATTATATAGCAGATAAGAGGGGAAGCCAGGCTCGGAGCCTTTCTCCAGAGCTAGTGCATGGGCAGCTTGAAGATCAGCAGAGCTGGTGCCACGCAGGCTGTCCACAGTATTTCCCTTGACCAGTGGTGCTTAGTTTCCACGAGTTCTGCATTCGTGGCTGGTGCATTGTGGGAAAGAAACAGACGTGTCCCTACTGCAAAGAGAAGGTCGACCTCAAGAGGATGTTCAGCAACCCGTATCCTTATTTTGCATTCTTTGGGAGTGGGCAGTGGGAAGCAAGCACTGGCCAGTATGACCCTGCATTTGGGTCCTCATGGGGCTCTCCTTCCTCGCGACGCCCCACCCCCCCTACATGTCCACCATTCTATTTGGCCTCAAGTGTAAGGAAGTTGGGGATGGGACATGGCACAGGACTAATGCCTCAGCTTCTCATAATAGTTCTAGAACCCTTAAGGCTAAGTTGGTAGTTGTAGCAGCTGCCGCTTCCTGCTTGCTTACTGTGTACCTGGCACTGTGTTAAGTGTTCTACTCATATGAATCTCATTGTCTTCTCTAGCAACTTTATGACCTGGTGATATCCTCATTTTACAGATGAAACAGTTAAGATGTTGGATACTTGTTTAGGTGATATAATTAATGCATGATGATGCCTTATCTATGACATGCAGGGCTGGAGACCAGCTCTGTGCCTGTGTAGGGCCTGTAGGTGCAGGGGTGGCTGAGGGACTTCCTGTCCCCATCAGCTATCAACACAGGACTTGTGCTCCTCTGAACTATCACTTCCTCCCCTGCCAGCCTTCCCTCCTCATCCTGTACCTTCACCCTCCTCATTCTCCTCACAGCCTGACCGTTGGAAAGTGCCCAGCCATACTCTGCCCGCCCCTGCACTTCCCCTGGGATACAGAGACCCAGCTTTCTCCCCTCTCCTCTCAGCTGCCCTTTCTCTGTCTCCAGTACACTAGCTGGGCCGTGTGGGAGCCACTGCATTCCCAGTACACTCCCTGAACAGGAGACAGGCCCTTCTAGGTTCCTTACTTCGTTCTTGCAGGGACTAGTTTAGGAACAAGTAATAACTCCATGGTCAAGCTGATGGTTGGAGCTTCCCTTAGTTCTCAGAGACTAGGCCAAGCTGCCCTTTCTGATGCCTTTCGAGAGGTTCCCTCCCCCCAGGGCTCTCCCCAGACCTGGGATCCCAGGCTCCTTTTCCAGGCGTCTTGCCCAGTGTTTAGCTGTAAAGTGGAAGGAGGGGAACTATCTCCAGAGCCGTTTGGCCTCAGTAGGGTCAGGTGCTTAGTGCTCCTGGATGGGGGTTCCTTGGGGCCTCTGCCAGGGGTTATCCTCTGTGACCAGCCTCGTGCTCCCTTCTGCCTCTGTCTCTAGACTCAACCTCTTCCTTGACCTAGAAAGCCTTCCAGTTGGAATTACAAGAACCTTCAGGGCTGCCTTACTTACTCCCAGCTTCCCTGCAGCCAGTGTCACAGGCCTCAGGCTGTGTTCTCTCACTGCCAGTCCATCTCAGAGAAGTTGTTCCATGGACGACCCTCTCTGCATGTCGGTCATGGAGAGCTTAGTTCCACCACTCCACCCCCATCTTCTGCACTGGCCCCTTTGCGCCTCCCCCCCCCCCCCCTGCTTTAGCCCTTTACTCCAACATGGAAAGGCTGGTGGGGCTTTCTAGAAAGCTGCTCAAAGTGTGGGCAGTCCCGGGGAGGATGTGGGCAAACCCTCCATGACCATCCCTAGACCAGCCTTAGCAGCTCTAAGCACAGCCTCTTTCCTTTAACACACCGGCAGCTGGGAGAGGCCCCACGTCATGTACGGGCAACTGCTGGATTGGCTTCGCTATTTGGTAGCCTGGCAGCCTGTCATCATTGGCCTGGTACAAGGCATCAACTACATCCTGGGCCTCGAGTAATCAGGCAGAAGAGCATCCACCCACCATGGACCTCAGGGCACACTCCTCCCTGCCCTTCAAGACCTCCTGGGTGGGAAAGACTCAAAGGGGCACTTGGGCCACTCAGGACCCTCCTGGCTGTGTCCGGGCAGGGGAGGGATATGATGGCGAGCTAGCCAGTGGGCTGTCAGCAGTGGGGGCTTTTTAAAAGAAAACTATTTTGATGAATATATTTAAAAACCTTTTTTATTGTGGAGCATAGGAACTGCCCCAACTCCTGCAGGCCTTATCCTCCTGCTTGAGCAGGGCGGGAGCAGAGCCACAACCTTTCTGGTTTAAAGGAGCCTCCTCACCTCTGGCTGAGAGCCTCAGCCCACCCATCTCTCCTTCCCTCGAAGGGGCTCAAGCCTGGCACGCTCAGCGTGAAAGAGCTGAAGCCCTCCCACTGGTGCCACAGAGGAGCACTGTGTGGTCAGGTATCTTCTACCTTCCCCTGTCCAGGAGCCATAGGCTGGTTGAGGCAAGTGGAATCTTGTGACTTTTCCAGTGAGGGAAGCCTTGGGACCTCAGAATGCCTTGAGGATTTGTTTGGGGGCAGGAGCAGTTTGGGTGACCTGCCCGGAGCAAACCTGCACTCAGCCAGAACGGAGGCCATGGGCGCTGCAATGATTGAGGGCCCCTTGTGCCCGGAAGTGGCAGTATATACCACAGGCCATTCAGCCACATCACTTCCTTCCCAGAAAGCCTGTGTGAATGTGTGCGTGCGTCTGAGTGGGTGCGGCAGAGGGATTGTGACAGACACATGAGACTTTGTTCCCTCGAAGCTGGCAGGGGATTCCCGGCCAGAGAATGGCCCTGCGTCAGCTCTGTTGTTCATGGGTCCTGTCTGGGCCTGGCAGGGGAAGTAGGAGGAGGGGGAGGCCCAGGTGAGTATGGCTTCTGAAAAGGGATTCCAGGGAGGCCCAGCCCTGGTCCTAGGAGTTGTGAGGACATGGGAGGGTAAACATGGGGCTACTAGGAAATACGGCCCATCTGGGCCTACCCCTTCAAGGGCAGCAAGAACCAAGAAGGATCTTGTCACTCCATTCTGAATAAAGCTCCATGAGCTGGGTTGGAAAGCTAAACATCATCTTGCTTTTCTTCTTCCCACCTCCTTCCCTGGGGCCCCCGGGGATGCCTTGCCTTGGCTGCCTTTTGCTGTTCCTGTTTGAGGGTTGGCCCCGCTCAGCATCCCGGGGAGTGGTGGAATGCCAGGCTCCTGTCCTGTGGTAGAAGGGGCCCCGGGGCATCACTGGGTGGTTGTGTCCTCACCACCTCGAGGTCAGTTCCCTGCCATCACCCCTTCTCAGGGCCATTCTCAGCGTTGGCTGTCTTACCCAGCTGTGGCTTCCCACAGTCCCCCACCTTTCATGCCATCCTCAGAGTGGACTGGGGGCTGGTTGAAGGGTCCAGGGATCATCCAATCCCCATATCAGGCTCATGTGAGAAGCTGAAGCCAACCTTCCAAGACTCTTTTTATATTTCGCCATTCCTGAGCCCTAGGACCTCCCAGTGGCCCAACTCTAGTCTTGGTGACTCTGAAGTAGAATCCCACCTCCTTTCCCTCCCTCCCCTCACCCCCAAGCCCCAAAGGACTGTGTCTTGGAGCCCCAGACAGCCTTGCCTCCTGACTTAACTGCTGGGGGTGCTGGAAGGAGTTTCCCTGTGTCCTGCAGCCTAGCAGCTTCTGGGGAGAGACCAAGAGTTAAAAAATGCCAAGTAGAGCTCTGGAGAGCAGAATGCATGGCTTTGTCTTCTGCCTCTAAATGAGGAATATGAGTCTGGTTTCCACACCAGTAACACCCCCTTGGGATTGCAGCAGACCATCCTCTAAAGCCAATCCTGTGTCCTGGCCTCCCTGGCTCTGTCCCCAGCTCTCCTATCCTCCTGACCACAGAAGTCACAAACTCCAGTCACTCAGGTTTTGTCCTTCACACTTGATACATGGATCACCAGTCCTCCTCTGGATCGTTCTGCCTCCATGACCCTGACAGTGAGCGCCTCACTCACTGCCCACTAGTCCTGCCTCTGCTGCAGTCCCAGCTCTATCTGTCCCATCAGCAACTAGACTGGAGTGTTGCTTGAGCCAGTGTGGGGCCACTCCCCCTCTTCCTAGGGAGTGCCCTCCTTTTAGCACCAGGGCTCCAGCTCATGTTTCAAGTTCTCAGCGTGGCTCTGCGAGGTCCTGCGGACAAGTCTGGGAAGTACTCTCGGCGCAGTTCCCATGGCGGGGCTCACATGGGAAAAGCAGAGGAACCGCGCTGTGGCGCTCCGGAATAGTGAATCCGAAAAGTCGGGCTCTTCAGACTTCTTGGGAGCCAGGTACGGGGAATCTAGACTTCCTGGGGAACCTAGACCTGTAGCTCTGGGATGAGAGAAGTGAGAAGAGTTCATCGTGACTCTGGGTGGGTGTTGGTTTAGGGGAGTGGGGAGCCTGAGAAAGGTCTGGATGTGGATAGACTCGGGTGCCATTGAACATGAAATGGTCAAATTGATCTAACACATTGGAGTCCCCAGTACCTACAAGAGTTGTTCCCTTGAATAACAACATGACAGAAGGAGGAAGCAGGAGGCCTGCTCATAGAAGCAAAGATCTGGCTCTGAAGAGCAAAGATGGATACTAAAGTCCTGACCCTTCGCTGGGATGGAAGAATTGACCTGTGAGAGACTTTCATTGGTCCCATACCCTTTGTGACCCTGGAGGTTACAGATATGGGTGGATTAAAGACCGTACATACCCAGTCTGATGCTGGCTGGCGAGTAAGGGCGCTAGGAAATAGCAGGAAGCTTCCAGTATCTCAGCCTACTTTAGATTCCCTGTTAGAATCAAAGTGAAAGTGAAATAGGGGCCAGTGCTTTCCCAGCATGATTTCACTGGATCCTGCCCTTCCCAGAACAGCTCCACGGTGAGGAGAGCTTTATCTCCCTTCTGGCTGGGTAAGTCCCTGGCCCCTCTTTGCATGTGTTTCTGTGTCTATACTGAAGGGGTTAGCTTGCACTGGAACCTAGCATGTTACATAGTATGTTAACAGAGCTCAGACGAGGAAAGACTGTCCGTAGATGACCCTCCAGCTTTGGGTGCTGAAGAGCTCCAGCCTCGGCCACATGCCTGCCTTCCAGGAGCTGCCGGTGGGGACAGATGGACAGGACAGAGTGAATAATAGTACCTGGCAGTCCCCTGTGAGCCAGATCTAGGCAGGGCTGTGGGATCTGCAGGAAGCACGGTTGGGATCTTAGGCCAGCTTTTTTTTTTTTTTCTGCCTCAGGTTGTGGTAAGCTGGTTTGGTGTCCACGCTGGCCAGGTAGTCCCGGCGGAAGCTGTCAAACAGGCCGCTGCTTTTGAGCTGCTCCAGGATGAGCGCGATGAGCTACGGGTCCCTAGGAGGCAGCGAGGCCGGGTTGATGGGGCCTCCGCTCCGCCATGCCTGCGCCCCGAGCCAGCGAGGGGAGGGAGACCCAATGCGGCTGCCTCTCAGGGGCAGAGGTCGTGCTGAGGTGGAGGAGGAGCGGGAACCGGAGCCAGCGGCCAGGGGGGAGAGAGGGGGTGGAGGGGACTGAGAAGGAGGGGGAGGGAATGGAGAAGGAGAGGGGCAGAGAAGCCGCAAGAGGCAGGTTCTGAGGCCTAGGCCAGCTTACTCACCACTCCCCCTCCCCGCCCCCCGCCTGCCCCCAAAGAGGAAGAGGCCATAACCACGTACATGTATAAAGCCATAGAGCCAAGAACACCAGCTCCTGGCACATCATGACCACCAGACAGAGCTGGACACCAGGTGGGACCTGGGGCTGTGCATGGGCGGCTGGGGGGAGGAGGAGGGTAGAGGACGGGCTGGGGATAGAACATGGGGGTGGGAGTGGTCTGAGAACAGAATGGAGCCGTGCGTTGCCCCAAGCCTTAACTCCCAGGTGACAGACTCCAGACGCTGTGGCTCTGGCTCCATTCCAGAGTCTCCCTGTGTTCCTTTCAAAAAGGGCCGGGAGGCAGGAGCTGAGGGTCCTTCTGCCCCTCCAATTCCCTAAGCAGAGCCCAGGAATCTCCGGGCCAGAGCTATCCAGGCAGCAAGTCCCTCAGCTAAGATCTGAGCCCGGGTGCTGAGCATTCCCAGGCGGCCCGGCAGCTGCTGATCTCCGTGACTGTCCTTTCCTCAGACTCCAGCCCTTTGTGGTTCCTGTTCCTGTTCCTGTTCCTGTGTGCCCACATCGTCTCCCATTTGGCAAGAGCCACACCTATACCCCAGGCTGGCACAGCTGCTGCAGTCTCAGCTGGGATCACAAAAGACCCCTCCCCCTCCCGCCCCTCAGCGCTCCCCACAACTAAGCAGTGCCCAGCATTGGAGGTGACCTGGCCAGAAGATGGACTCTCACTAAGTAAGGAACAATTCTGAAGAAAGCCCAGGAGGTCACAGTGGTTAGAAGGGAGGCTGTTAGCACAGAGGGTCCAAGGGTGGGGTTGACTCCTGAATATACCCCCTGCCCTTCTGCCATGTAGCCCACTACCAACCCGGCCAGCTTGGCTGAGCACTCAGCGTTCTGTCTCCCACCCAGCATTATGAGTATGGGCACAGGGCCCTGCTCCCAAGATGCTCCCTATCGAATGGGACAGAGAGTATTCAGACAAGGAAAGGTGAGAAGCTGCAGAGCCTGACGGCCGTGGGCTCCAAGGCCCTGCCCCTCCTCTCAGAGCCCACTTGCTTCTGGCCACCTCAGGAGGAGTGGCCCCAGTAGGGCTGCCCCCTTGGCTGGGAGTTCTAGTCACTGAAGCTGGGCACTAGGTCTCCTGAATAAACAAGCTCAGGAGTTATCACCTGAACCAAGGACCTATCCCCCAGACTCTCGCTCAGCCCTGGGCCTCCGTGGTAGACAAGTGCACTTCTGCTTTAATGGACTTTCGCACCTGGATGGTGTGCCGAGCAGCACTCTAGGTTCCTGGATTGTGGCGCTGGGGAGCTGGGGAAGGTGGGCAGGCCACAGAAGAGAGGGTAGGGGGCTGCTCTATGGAAAGGCTAAGGGCTGACAGCCACTTGTGCTCCTAGATGGAACGCTGACTCTGTCCTGTACCGCCTGTAGCCGCTTCCACCACTTCAGCATTCTCTACTGGCTGGGCAATGGTTCTTTCATCGAGCACCTCCCAGACCGGCTGCAGGAGGGCGACACCAGGTGAGGGGCATGGGGATGAGGCCCACAGGAGGGAGGCCTCCTCCTGCCGTCCTCTCATGGCCTTTCTTCTCTGCTGCAGCTGGGAGCACAGGGGTGCCAGCACTCAGCTGAAGAAGGCCTTGGTGCTGGAGGAGCTGAGCCCCGTCTTGCGCAACACCAACTTCTCTTGTGTTTTCACGGATCCTGAGTACACTGTCCAGCGCCACGTTGTCCTGGCCGATCTCTTGGTGAGGAACCTGAGGGAAGGTTTCCAGGGATGGGCGGAGCTCTGCTCCAGTGTGGGGAGGAAAGGGTGGGCTATGCCCCGAGCCGTCTCCAGCTAAGGACCACCACTCCCCCAAGACCCCAGGCCCAAGGTGGAACTACAGAGAACTTCAGACTCAAGCAGAGAAGGTGTGGCCTAGAGGAAAGTGACCAGATATCCCTCCCCCTTGGCCCTGATCCTTGTCTGCCTTCACTTCCCAGGCTGGGCTGAGGACACTCATGCCCCCGACTCAAGAAGCCTCCAGAGGGTTCCCTCTGCCTCACCATCCTGACAGGTGAACTCAAGCCTGGTTGAAACGCCACCTCTTCATTTAGGTCTAGGCTGTCAGCTCAGGCCACAATCTGTCAACTTAATGCTATATATTTGTATAGACATACCTCGTTTTATTGTGCTTCACAGATCATGCATTTTTTACAAATTGCAGGTTTGTGGCAACCCTGTGTCGAGTAAGTCTATTGGCACTATTTTTCTAACAGCATTTGTTCACTTCATGTCATATTTTGGTAATTCTTGCAATATTTCAAACTTCTTCCTGTGATGAGTGGTCTTTGATGTTACAATTGTGACTGTTTTTGGGGTGCCATGAATCATGCTCATATAAGATGGTAAACTTAACTGACAAATGTATGTGTTCTGACTGTTCTGACTGCCTATTCCCTCTCTCTCCCCCTCTCCTTGAGCCTCCCTATTCCCCAAGACATAACAGTATTGAAATTAGGCCAAGTAATAACCCTACAGTGACCTCTAAATGTCCAGTGAAAGGAAGAGTCACCTGTCTCTCACTTTAAATCGAAAGCTAGAATTGATTCAGCTTAGTGAGGAAGGCATGTCAAAAGCCCAGATAGGCAACAACCTAGGCCTCCCTCTTATACCAAATAGCCAAGTGGTGAATGCAAAGGAAAAGTTCTTGAAGGACATTAAAAGTGCTACTCCAGGGAACACATTGATAAGAAAATGAAAGTCTTACTGCTGATATGGAGAAAGTTTTGGTGGTCTAGATAGGTGAAACCAACCACATTCCTTTAAACCATAGCCTAACCCAAGCAAGGCCCCAACTCTTTGATTCTGTGAAGGCTGAGAGAAGTGAGGAGGCTGCAATAGAAAAATTGGAAGCTAGCAGAGTCTGGTTCATGAAGTTTAAGAAGCCATCTCCATAACATAGAAGTGCAAGGTGAAGCAGCCAGTGCTGATGTGGAAGCTACAGCAAGTATCCAGGAAATCTAGCCGAGATAATTAATGAAGATTGCTACTCTCTCTTTTTTAAAAAATATATTTTATTGATTTTTTACAGAGAGGAAGGGAGAAGGATAGAGAGCTAGAAACATCGATGAGAGAGAAACATTGATCAGCCACCTCCTGCACACCCCCCACTGGGGATGTGCCCGCAACCAAGGTACATGCCCTTGGCCGGAATCGAACCCGGGACCCTTCAGTCTGCAGGCCGATGCTCTATCCAGTGAGCCAAATCGGATGCCTGCAATAACAGATTTTCAATGTAGATCAAACGGTCTTCTAATGGAAGATGATGCCATCTAGGAATTTCACAGCTAGAGAGGAGAAGCAAATGCCTGGCTTCAAAGTCTCAAAGGGCAGGCTGAGCCCTGGCCGTTCATTGTGGCTTAGTTGGTTGAGCATAATCATGTCCAGGTTGGGGGCTTGGTCCTCAGTAGGGGGTGTGCAGAAGGCAGCTGATCCATGTTTCTCTTTCTAAAATCAATACCAAAAAAATTTTTTAAAGGGCAGGCTGACTTTGTTAGGAGCTAATGCAGCTGCTGACTTTAAGTTGAAGTCAGTGCTCATTTACCCTTCTGAAAATCCTAGGCCTCTTAAGAACTATGCTAAATCTATTCTGCCTGTGCTCTAGAAATGGAACAAAGCCTATATGTGATAGCACATCTGTTTACAATATGATTTATTGAATATTTTTGGGACCTACTGCTCAGAACAAACTATTCCTTTGAAAATAATGCTGCTCATTGACAAACACCTGGTCACCCAAGAGCTCTGATGGAAATGAACAAGATTAATGTTTTCATGCTGCTAACATTCATTTTGCAATCTGTGGATCAAGGAGTAATTTCAATTTTAAAGTCTTATTATTTAAGAAATACATTTCATAATGCGATAGTTGCCATAGTAATTCCTCTGATGGATCTGGGCAAAGTGAATTAAAAACCTTCTGGAAAAGATTCATTATTCTTTATTAAGAACATTAGTGATTCATGGGGAAAGGTGAAATATCATCATTAGCAGAAGTTGGAAAAAGTTGATTCCAACCCTCATGGGTGACTGGGAAGGGTTCAAGATTCCAGTGGAGGAAGTAACTTTATATGATGTGGAAATAGGAAGAGAATTAGAAGTGGACCCTGAAGATGTAACTGAATTGCTACAATCTCATGATAAAACTTTAATGGATGAAGAGTTGCTTCTTGTGGATGAGCAAAGTGGTTTCTTGAGGTGGAATCTATTAGTGGTGAAGATGCCATGAAGATTTGTTGAAATGACAACAAAAGATTTAGAATATTACTTAGATGATAAAGCAGCAGCAGGGTTTGGAGGACTGACTCCAGCCCTGGCTGGCATGGCTCAGTTGGAGTGTCGTCCCATGCACCAAAGGGTGATGGTGGGTTTGATCCCTGGTCAGACCATGTGCAGGAGGCTACTGATTAATGTATCTCACATTGATGTTTCTCTCTCCCTCCTCTCTCTCAAAATCAATTTAAAAAAAAAAAAAAGGATTGACTCCAATTTTTTAAATATCTTTTGCTGTTGTTTTGTTCTTGGAGAGACATTGATGCGAGAACAGAACATCAATTGGCTGCCTCCTGCACATTCTCTACCAGAGATGAAGCCTGCAACCTGGGCATATGCCCTGACCATAAACCAGCAACCTTTTGGTGCATGAGACAATGTCCAATTGAACAACACCGGCTAGGGCTTGACTCCAATTTTAAAAGAAGTTCTACTGTAGATAAAAATACTATTAAACAGCATTGCATTCTATAACTTATTCGTGAAAGTCAATCAGTACAGCAAACTTCATTTTCTTATTTTAAGAAATTGCCACAGTCATTCCAACCCTCAGCCATTCTGCTCTTATCAGCAGCCAACATCAAGGCAAGACCCTCTACCAGCAAAAAGATTACAACTCACTGAAAGCTCAGATGGTGAATAGCATTTTTTAGAAACGATATGTTTTTTTAGTTAATGTACGTTGTTTAGACACGCTACTGCACACTTAATAGACTACAGTGGAGACCAAAATGTTTTGTAACTGACTTTATTGCAATATTCACTTTGTTGTAGTGGTCTGGAACCGAACCTGCAATATCTAAGCTAGCCTGTATTGTCCTCCCTCCCCCAATATATTGGGCAGAGGCTGCTTCTGATACACAATTGTATCTTTTTCAAAAAAAATACATTTTTATTGACTTCAGAGAGGAAGGGAGAGGGAGATAGAAACATCAATGATAGAGAATCATCGATCGGCTGCCTCCTGCAAGTCCCCCACTGGGGATTGAGCCCGCAACCCAGGCATGTGCCCTTGACAGGAATCAAACCCGGGACCCTTCAGTCCACAGGCTGACGCTCTATCCATTGAGCCAGATCGGCTAGGGCCACAGTTGTGTCTTTGTTATACCTAGCAAGGCCCACAATGGGCATTCATAGGTGATTTTCAGTGGAGGCAAGCTGACATCTTCTGACTTAGGCCATTCTCCCATTCACAGAACTTGGCCCATTCTAAGAGGGACTATGGGAAGAGTACCATTCAGAAGTTAAAGACAAAACCAGATTCAGGGGACAGAGGCCCTCAGAAAAAGACAGCCCATACTGCTCCATGAGCAGAGGCCAGGAGAAGGGACTTGAAAGAAGGTAGGTGGTCTGAAGACTGAGCAGGAACAAAGTATGCTCTAACAAGCCCAGATTCCCCTTTTCCCACACAGATCAGGCAGCTTAGCAGCCAAGGGAGAAAAATAGACTTTATTTACAAGTAATAACATTTAGAAAAGATCCATCCCTGGCCCTTAAAAACCTTCCCATCAATCCAAATCCCACCCCATTACAAGTCTAGAGAAGGTGGGGGATGAGCTGTCCCCACCCTCCCCCACCCCAGCAAGCCTGGCGGTCATGGAAAAGAGCATCCTCTGGGTAACTGTGCCCTTGGATGGATGGAAGCACCTTATCCCCAGGTGCTCCCACTAGGTCAATAGACTTTAACAAGGGCCCTTGGTAAGCCTAGCCACCAGCAACAGCAGGGATCAGGGCCTGCTCCTCCAATGGTCCAATGGTCCCTTCTAAATACAGAGGCTGAGGAGGACTGGCTGGGCCCAAGGACCCAGTCCTCAAAGCCAGCCTCAAATCTCGTCATGGAGAAGTGACTTTGCTTTGTGAAAACAGGAGGCAAGGTAGGGAGAGGACCCAGACTGTTCGGGCTCCAGGCCAATTCTGACGACACATCTGTTCTCCTAGTGAAGGCTCTGATAAAGGTCCAGGTACCAGGCCAAGGTGTGCCAGGCATCACTGTCTCTAGGGGTTTGGCCACTGTTGGCCTGAAAGCTGAGAGAAGGCACTGAGCGGGACAGCATCAGGCAAGGGCAGCATCAGGGACACAGGTGGGGCCACTCACTGGTACTGGTCCTTTAGTGCTTTGCCTGAAAGAGAGAAACAGTCACATGGCTGTGATATCAGCCTGCACCAGCTGGCGTAGGAAGACCTCTTCCTGCTCCCATAGCCCTGACTAGGATCCCTTCCATGGTGTGGCCCTGGACAGATCTACCTTCAGGTTACCAGTTGCTAGATGTGTCTAAGCAACTCTGGATTTTCTCAGGAGTGGAGTTGTCTGCCTCCTCTCCTCAATAATAAGCCATTGACCAAGACAAGGAGCACCTGCTTAGCCCCCAGCAGGCCTGCCCTGGAAGCGGTCCCATACTTCTACTGGGGTTCCTAAGAGTTAAGCCTCCCTCTTCCCTGCCAGTGCCTCCACCTTGCTCTTGGCCCGAGAAGTGGCGGCAACGATGGCAGCAGCAGTGGCAGCGCTGGCTGTGGTGGTGGCAATGCGAGGAGAGCGACGGGTTCCACTGCTGGTGTTGGGAGAGGCCTTGGGCAGGGCTTTCTTTGAGGCCCCCCTCCGCAGAAGGCTATTCCCAAGCTTCTTGGGCGTGTTGAGGATGCTGAAGGTCATGGACTGGCGGCGATCAGCCTGTGGGGAGGGGCTGTCAAATGAGGCTCACTGCTGCTTTCCCAGGCCAACCTGCTGCTCTAGGGTCTCCCTTCAGCCCCCAACTAACCTGTTTAACAACAGCGGGAGCTGCTTTCTTCTGGGCCTCCGTAGTGCTCTGTTTGCGCCCTTCATGTCGGTCCCGGGGAGTCATGGGTCGTGGGAAACAGCTGGTGGGCTTCTTAGACTATGGGGAAGAGGCCGATTAGGCAGACATCAGCAAGAGGACTTCACATCCAAAGCCAGGTATCTTAGCTGAGTGGACCTATAAATCAGCTTGTCCCATCAGCAGCACCTCTTACCCCACCACCAAGGGCCAGAAGCCTCCCCTTTAATCTACTTTTCAAACTTGGTGAGCTGACCTGGCAGGCTGCTAGAATAAAACCCAGGAGCCAACGTCTCCTACCTC